CATCCATTGATTACTTTTGACTACCTCTTGACAGTCTCGTTGTAGACTGTAGAGTGACGATTGACTTCCTCGTAGGACAAGCTCATGTTAAAATGGTTGGTCACTTGGGTAGTCGGGTGGCTAGGGGCCACCACAAGTGGTATGTCAAGTGGTTAGTTCCAGACTGTCCCGTCGAACTGCTGGGCAAATACTGTTTTTTTTTTTTAATTTTTCTCATACGCTCTTCATATTGTATATAAAAAGTGTTGCCACTTTGGTTATTATAATAACAATTGAACTGAATGCTGTTTGCTTTCATACTCTTTTTAAAGTGTAAAAATAAAAAAAATTTGTTTGATCTCTAGTAATAAACCAACTACATATGTGTATAAATATACGGGGAATTTCATGTCAAGTGACTCAACTCAAAACACTAAGGTTAGTACTATTGTATAGTAGGTCAGACACAAATTTTCAGCTATATTGGCCAAGAACTGCCGGACTTAGAGGGTGTCAAAGTTAGACATTTTGTTCATACAGGGTTTTATTCTTCCAAATCGGAAGACTTGGATTTTTAAAGCGTCACTTGACACGAAATACCTCATACAAATATTTTATTATACCCATCATAAAACAGATGGGGGGTAATTCCGTTTGTAAATATTGGTCATAGACCCATGTCCATCTGTATGTTGAAAACACAATAGAGTTGAAACGAAACAAGATAGAGAGCTTAAATATTTTGCCAAACTATTTTAGTTGATCCAGTTTGTTTGGTATAAAAAATGGAAAATATCGGTCAACGATTTCACCTAGCCCCCCCAATTAGGCTCTTCGAAAATAACTATATAGCTTTTAACTGACTTAAAAAACCATATGTATATAACGATGAAATTTTACATAAACAAGTTTTATTAGAGCCGAAATGTTTTTGTCAAAGTTTCTAAGCATCGTCATATAGTAAGTATGCCGATGCCCTATCCCCCATATAAAGTCCCCTTTAGAAAATGACTTCAAAGGTAATAATTTACTACAAAACTACAATATAGAAACAAAACTCAACAATTTAATCTAGTTTTAAATGAACTTAAATCTCTATGTCAAATATTATGAGAATCGCTCCATTATAGAACCTACGCCTCTTATAAGGTCACCTTCAGAAAATGACTTTAACGCTCGTAACTGTCTTCATAATATCAGTACAGCGACGAAATTCAACATAAAAAATTATTGTAGGTACAAAAAAAATCTCACTACCAAATTGGATTATGATCGTTACAAAATTGAACCAACGACTTATATAAGTCTATAGACTCCTAAATGGATGTACGGATTTTCATATTTTTCTTGAAAGGAACTATGAGAACGAATTTTGTATGCACAACAAAATTGTGAGCAAAATTGGCAGACTGAATATAGTGGGCGTGGCACTTCCTATATATAGAAAATATTGAATTATTATTTCTGAGAAAATATATAAGTTAAAGTCCTCAAATTTTGTGAGAGTCCCTTTAGTAATAATATGAATATTTTTGACAAAAGAAAAAAATAGTGGCGTGACACATATGAACAATTGTGAGCAAAATGGACAGACTGGATATAGTGGGCGTGGCACTTCCTATATACAGAAAATATTGAATTAGTATTTCTGAGAAAATATATAAGTTAAATCCTCAAATTTTGTGAGAGCCCCTTTAGTAAAATATGAATATTTTTGACAAAAAAGGGCGAACTAGCGATAGTGGGTCAGATGGCCTCATATGAATAAAGCACAAAAATTCGTATATCTGAGAAAATGTTAGAGCTAGAATCCTCAAATTTTGCAAGAACAATCCATGTGAATATAATAAATTGGCAGAGCAGCAGTAGTGGGCATGACACCCCCATATGAATTAAGAACAAAAATACGTATATCTTGGAAAAACTGTTTGAGCTAGAATCCTCAAATTTAGCATGAACAACTTTGACATCCATGTGAATATTAGTGCAATAAATTGGCGGATTAGCAATGGGGTAAAAGACCACCCCCATATGAATTAAGTACAAAGAATCGTATATCTTTGTACTTCACATCTATGTGAATCTGAGAATCTGTTAGAGACAGAATCCTGAAATTTTGCAAGAACAACTTTGAAATTCATGTTAATATTAGTGTAATAAATTGGCGATTTAGCAATAGGGAGCGTAAAACCCCAATATAAATAAAGTACAGTGTACTCTCTCATTTGGTTTAAGAGTAATAGATGATAAGAGGCATTTTCTACAACTTATACAAAATGGGGGATCTTGCAGGGTTCAATCCTTGTATACTATGTTTCAATTAAAGACCGCGAGAGAGATGAATGTCATTTCTTACGCAAATTCAAAAGTTTCCTGGTGTAGACGGGCATTTATTTGAAATAATTGTGAAATATCCTACTTTGTTAATAACAGGGGATTTACTCGCCGCCGTCTAGTAATGGTTGCTTTATTTATAATATAAAATGTACGTATGTATTAATATGTAGCTGATTAATTTTATTAATAATTTGAAATATTTCTAAAGATTGACGTGTCAATTCTAATAATTATTCGAGTCGATTTAGCAATGTTCGTAACTCTGAAAGATATGATACATTTAGTTTCAGGAACCAAGATAATTCACTTTACTTTCTCTGAAGAAAATCACAATGAAACTTCAATGGTCTCCAAGTGCAGTTGCACCTCTTTGGTACATAAACCTTTCCATCCGTCCAGGTAAACATTGTAATGCATGATCTCCTATTTCTCTTGGACTTCCTTGGAGTCCATCATTTCACATAACATTTACTACATAATAATGCAATTATCTTGAAATCGTTTACCGATATTGTCCATCTTCAAACTAACCTTATAATAAGAGAATATTTCTGAAAATTTCAGTTATCCATCTCTCTACGTTCTGACTTTATCGTGATTTCAACACTTAAGCAGACGGACTTACCCCCAAAATATGAGAAACTTCGTAAAAATTTCTTACGATAATTTTCGCTCCATATGATTTTCGTTTTAGAATGGATTATTTTTATACCCACCATCAAAAAAGATGTGGGGTATATTGATTTTGTCATTCCGTGTGTAACACATCGAAATATTATTCACAGACCCCATAAAGTATATATATTCTGGGACCTCGTAAGATTCTAAGACGATCTAGCTATGTCCGTCCGTCTGTCTGTTGTTGCCACGATAGCGTCCACAAAAAAAGAGATATTGAGACGAAATTTTCCCAAAATATTTCTTATTGATCAGAAATGTTTGGTATTGAAAATGGGCAAAATCGGTCAACGACTTCACATAGCCCCCAAACAACTGTACCCCCGGAATGTTGTGTAAAAAGCTTCAAACATTCACAAATTCATTGTTTATGAAGCAAATGCTACAAAATTTCGCATAAGTCAGTCTTTTGACTTCCGAAATAGAATTCTGAATTGGCATAAGTAAGTATCTTAGGAGCCAAAATCTTTCCACCAAGTTTTAAGTGGATCGGTCCAAAATTGACCCTACCCCCCAATATAAGGTCCCCTCCATAAAATTATTTTAACGCTCATTACTGGTACAGCGATGAAATTTCATAGAAGTAAGTTTTATACGAGCCAAAATTTCTCTGCCAATTTTTATGTGGATCGGTCCAAAATTGACCCTACCCCCCATATAAGGTCCCCTTCAGAAAATTACTTTAACGCTCATTATTGGTGTAAAAATACGAGTATAGCGAAGAAATTTGACATGAGTTTATTTTAAGTGGATCGGTCCAAAATTGAACGTTCCCCCCATATAAGGTCCCCTCCATAAAACTACTTTAACGCTCATTACTGGCTTAAAAATACGAGTACAGCGATTAAATTTCATAGAAGTAAGATTTATACGAGCCAAAATCTCTCTGCCAATTTTTATGTGGATCGCTCCATAATTGACCCTACCCCCCATATAAGGTCCCCTTCAGAAAATGACTTTAACGCTCATTATTGGCGTAAAAATAGGAGTATAGCGATGAAATTTGACATAAAGATGACTTGTATGAACCAAGATCGTTCTACAAAATTTTACGAGTATCGGTCTATAATTTACTCTACCCTTATATAAGGCCCTTTCAAAAAATGACTTTAAAACTCAGTACTGGCTTAAAAATACTAGATCTATGATATTCGATATAAACTAGTTTTGTATGAGCTAACATCTCTACAAAATTTGTTGGGGATCGGTCCATAATTGACCCTACCTCCCATTTAAGGTCCCCATCAGAAAATTACTTTAACGCTTATTACTGGCTTAAAAATCTGAATATGGCGATGAAATTCGACACTTATAAGTTTCATAGGAACCGAAATCTCTCTACCAATTTTTATGAGGATCAGTCCATAATAATCCCACCCCATATAAATCCCCCTCAGCAAATGACTACAACGCGAAAAATACGAATACCGCAATGTAATTCAATATAAACTAATTTTGAGCTAAAATCTCTCTACCATACTTTATGACGATCGGTCCATAATTAACCTTAACCCCGTATAAGGTCCCTTTAAAAAAATGACATTAATGCTCATTACTGGCTTAAAAATACAAGTAGATTTATGCAATTTTAAATAAATAAGGAATTGAAATCTTCCTACCGACTTTTACGAGAATTGGTCCATATATGTATAAATAACCCTACCTCCTATATAAATTAATATTTTTAATTCGAAAGAGCACTCTCAATAGTTTAACCCCTCTTTCAAATGTTACCCTGATGTTCAAAATATCAAAGTTTATTTATATGGCAGTGATTTGATGGTGGGTATAAAAGATTCGGCACAGCCCATAGCACTCTTACTTGTTTACTACTAACATTGTTTTCACTCGGTGTTTTAAAAGATAAAGCTATGGCAACACTGTTACTAAAAATAACACAAGAGCTGTGTTATAAAAAATTATCATACAAAATATTAGGGAATTTCCCTACAATTTTATAAGTATACGTATATATAAGATGTTTTATATTCGTTGCACTCAGTAATTCACTATAACTTAACAATAATACATATAACGATAACGAATATGAAAAAAAGTACAGACTTTTTATGTAGTAGAGGGCGACAAAAAATATTAAAGAATAAACAAATCAAGTGTTTAAGTAAAACTGTAAGAAAATGTAAGTATAAATGAATATTTATTATAATATTCATTGATGATACTTCAGTTTTATTTTATCAAATAAATTTTTGAAGGTAAATCTGAAAATCTGAAATGTCTTTTTAGCGAAAAATTTATAAAAATTATTCGAAAATAATTTAAATAAGTTCTGATTAAATATTCAGGCCAAATTATTACAGATGATTTTCAAATGTGTATATTAATATAAATAAATATCTTTACAGTATTTTGTATCAACTTCACCAAATTATACGCTAAGGATCTTTTACTATTTAGACAATATTTAAGAAATGCCGAATTCAGTGAAGAAATGTCCACAGCACTAAATGAATATAGGGAAAATCTACTCCACTTGGCGTGTCAATTTAATGAACCACAACATATAAAACAATTAATTGCTTTAAAATGTCCAGTTTTTAAACAGGATTTTTATGGAAGAACACCACTACACGTTGCTATACAAAGAGAACATAAGGAATGTATTGATGAATTCGAACGAATATTAACATCAGTAATAAATCTCCCTGAAAGTGACGCAGTGGACAAAAATGAACTTATAGGAAATTTAAGAAAAATGTTTGAAGTTTACAATCATGATGGTTATACAATTTTACATTTAGCTGTTTTAAAAAATTGTCCGACGTTGGTGAAAGTAATGTTGACATTTTGTTTAAAATTCAAAATTAATATTTTAGAAAAAGAAGTCTTGGGTTCGGGTGATTCAATATTGCATTTGGCAGTTAAAAACAATTTTAAGGATATTGAAAATATTATTGTTGATAAAGTAAAAGATAGTGTTAACCAACCGAACTATAGTGGAGCAACACCATATAAAATCATCACCACAGATGAAGATCTGACGGATGATCGCACCACAGATGAAGATCTGACGGATGATCTCACCACAGACTAAAACCTGGCCTAAGGTCATATTGGGGAAATACTTATATATATCGGTTCTTAATCTTCTATCAAAGGTTTATACAAATTTTTGAATAAGGTCTATCGTGTACACATATAGTAAATTTTAATATTTTATTTCTAAGAATAATATCACAAATAAATTAACAGATTGTTTCTTAAATCTGTATACATATAGAAGATCGAGTTTATATTTAATATTTTTAAAGTTAGGTCAGTCTGTTCTTGGAAAGCTTATGTGGATCAATTGGAATTTTACAACATTCACAAAACAAATTTATTTTCTTTATTGAATTTTTTATTAATTTTTCACAATTAAATTTCTTGTTGGACTTATTTGTTTTCAAACTTCACTTAAATTTAAACGAAAATTTAGTAAAAGAAAACACTTAAATAACGAATCCGTGGATGTCTTGATCTTGTTTATTTCATTTATTCGATTAAGACATAGAAATACCGAGAGAGACTAAATCAACGACTCCTACTGAGGCAAACAAAAGATATCGTTTTTTTAAGTAAGTCATTACTAGACTCCTTCTAGGTAATGCAGAAGGTATGAAGGTGAAAAGTAAGTTGTTAATTAAGTTTAAGTCTAAAGTCTAAATACAATTGGTAAATTGGAATAAATCAATATTCCAGTTGATATTTGAATATTTTTATTTAATAGTCGGAAACAATTTTCTATTCTGAGTAAGAATTCGTAAACAGATAAAATGGCAACCGTAAAATTTTTTATAAAAACATAATGTCAGTACCAAAAAATCCCTTTTTATAAGACCTCACTTAATCAGAGCCCTACATGCTAAATTTCATGTTTCAAGATTCAATCTTACAATCGGTAACAATTTACTTGAAAATGTAAATTTTTGATAGATATGAGGTGAATATAATTTTACTAGCTCATAGAGCTACACATAATAAAACAATAAAAGGTAGAATCACTACAAAATAAGTTCTCAATTATACATGCCTTGAATTGTCAGACTCATAGTAAAACAAAAAATAAAAGTACAATTGAAATAAAACATCAAACATTAAAACTAAATTGAGAAATAATTTAAATTTAATTTAAAAAAATATAAGAAACATGCGTGTTAAATGTTGTTTGTGTAAATGTTCATTTGAACAGAATCTCGTAAGATTTATAAAATGTCCCGAAAATAAAATTAGAGAATGGAGTGAAGCTTGCGGTGTTGAGCTGAAGAAACACTCCCGGATTTGCATGCATCATTTCAATGACTCCGATTATATTGAACTGCATCAAGCCACAAAACGTGCACGTCTAATGCCAAATGCTACACCTTCTCTTGAACCAGTAAAAGGAGTAAATGATTTTTTTTCTTATGCAAATAGATTATGTGGTAAATTGTTTTTTAAATTAATAGTCTTCTGTAAATTCGCCGAATTTAATACTATGTACATAGATATATGTAATGTATTTCGTATATGTAGTTAATGATTGATAGATACAATTGTTTAATCTTGTTTTTTACAATTTTAATTTGATCTTCAAGTATTTTTCATTTTTATACTTTAAGACGAAATTTCAACCAATAGTTATAATATTAATCTCGGGGGAGTTTTCCAGATTTTTCCTACCGAGCGCGTCCCCGGGTGGCGGATAGGGGGTGGTGATGGACCATCTGTCCTCTCCCAGCTTTAATTTCACTTAAGCTGAGGGAGGGCAGATTGTCCACCACCTGGGAATATTATATTCCCCGCGGACCAAAAAACTGGAAAAAAAAAAAAAAAAACAAATATGGAAAATAAAAATAAAAAGATAAAAGTTACGGTGCAGGGCCTAAATACCCCAGTACCGGCGGCAAGTGTTGATCTACTCGCGAGTCACGTGTCGTCGTCATCCTGCAATCGTGAGCAGAATACTACTACGGAGGTGGGTACCTTGGCCTCCGTGGCGGACAATGCGTCAAGTGTACAGCATGCCGCTGGCAAAAATATAGGGGTGAAAGAGAAGGATGTACTCGGAGAGAGCTCTAAGCTACCTCAGCCTTTAAATATAGGTGAGGGTTCCGACTCTGAATCCTCAGATGATAATAATAATAATACCATTATAGCAAATCCCAAAAAGGATGAAGTAGAGCAAATGGTGAAAGAGGTGAGTGATAGCATAGCTAAACTACCTATTACTAAGAAAAGACTTTCTGGAGCACAGAGGAGGAAGTTGAAAAAGATGCTTCAGGAAATCATAGTTAGTCAATCCCACGACACTCCAAAGGAATCGGACTCTCTCACAAGATCTGAGGCAAAAAGGATCAGGTCACCCGAGGAGTTGACAACTGAGAATAAGCCTAAGAAGAAAAAGAGCTCCCCGTCTTCTAATACACAGTCGAAGCCAAGCCATACTTCACTCAAAGGAATCTCAAGTGAGAATCCTGCGAGTAAGGGTGACAACGCCAAGCCAGATATTCCGAAGACGAACACGTCGGCGAAATCAACCTCGAAGGTAAGGGAATCTCAAAAGAAGCCCCGAAAAACGAGGAAGGAGAAGCTAGACGGAGGAAAAGGTAAAGAGCCGCCATCTTACGCCAAAGTTGCCAGAAGTAGGCACCGGGACGATCTCTGCTATGCAGTTTACGATGCCGGTAATCCGACAGGCAAAATTCCAATAGACCAACAGAGTAAAATAGAAGACCTGGTCAACAATAAGATAGTGGACCATGCAATAGCTTCAAAGGGCAAACAACCAATAGAGAGCGAGAGCTGCGAGTTCAGCATGGGCGTGATGTTGATGAGGTTGGCATCTCACCAATGTGTTAGCACCCTAAAGAACTTGGTGGAAAGTATCCCTCCTCCCTGGGACGGCGCTAGGCTGGGACTGGCAAAGAAGAGCGAGCTTCCGGTGCTCCTAAAGTCCACTGTCTACATAAAAGGATGGGGCAGTAAACTGGCTAATGAACGTATACTGGAAATTCTTGGAGGTCAAAATGCTGAGCTGGCCGTGGAAAAATGGGATGTCTTTTACAGGAAAGAAGAACCTGAGGGAACTTTATTTGTAATAGGTATCGACCAGAAATCCATGGCTAGTCTTGCCAAGAATAAAGGTAGGGCTTACTTCGCCTCTAAATCTGTCATATTCAAAATTGGGAAGGTGCCGATTGGAAGGGCTGTTACAACAAGCCTCGAAAAGGACACTAAAAAACCTAAGACCACAGTATCCACTACTGATAACGTTGAGGAGTCAAATCCTAAAATCGAGGAATTTACCATTAACTCGCCAGAAGAAAGTGTAGTTGCCCTTTCCAAAATTGGGAAGGCGCCGATTGAAAGGGCTGTCAAAACCGGCCCCGACAAGGACACTAAAACACCTAAGACAGTACCCAAAGCATCATTAGCAAGTACTAGCAATGTTGAGGAGTCAAATCCTAAAAGCGAGGAGGAAATCACTCACCCGCCAGAAGACAGAACAGCAATGCTCTCCAGAATTGGGAATGTGTCTATTAAAAATACTGCTATTCCTATGCCTGATAAGGACACCGCAGTGCCATCAACAGTACTCACTGCATTAATAGCCACTTCAGGCTATCCGGAGGAGTCAAATCCAAAGAGCGAGGAGGTGACCACCAACTCGCTGGAAGACAGTTTAATGGATGACCATGATTGAGGTTATCCAAATAAACCTCCATCGGAGCGAGACAGCTACCAACGCTCTGATGGCTAAAATCAACACAGGTAAAATACATATAGCTTTAATCCAGGAACCTTGGACGATTCGCAACAAGGTTTCTGGATTAAATCACGTAAATTTCCAACTTTTCTACGCTGATACAGGATCTCGCCCGAGAACATGTATCTTATGTCACAAGAACTTATGTTTTCTCCTCTCAACAGGATTATCAACATCGGATGCAACGGTGCTGAAGCAAGGTCGAGGCAACATATACCTTGCATCTATTTACCTGCCTTTCGATTCTCCGACCCTACCACCAACGTCGGATCTGATGAAACTGGTTGAAGAGGCACAAAGGAAAAATAAGAAAATTGTAATAGGTTGTGATGCCAACTCGCATCATGTAGCTTGGGGTAGTACAAACACCAATCGCAGGGGACAAGCCCTCATGGATTTCTTTAATACTAAAGACTTGATAACATTGAACTTAGGTAATAAAGCTACCTTCGTCAATAGAATCAGAGAAGAAGTATTAGATATAACTATATGTTCAGAAGAGCTTATAAACGAAATTCAGGATTGGAGAGTTTCGGACGAGCACTCCTTTTCTGATCATCGGTACATAAGATTCAAAATACTAAGGCCACCACCAAAGCCGATAAAGTTTCGGAATAAGTCTAAAACTAATTGGACAATGTTCGGGGCCTTACTAAAGAACCGTTTAGGTCAGGACACTTTTCAATGTCGAAATAAAGAGGATATAGATGCCAAAGTGGAAACGTTCACAAGTGCCCTGGTTGAATCGTTCGAGGACAGCTGCCCTCTGCGAGAGCGGAGATCTGCCCAGGAAAAACCCTGGGTAACTGGGGAGATCCGGAACCTTGGGAAGACTCTTCGCAAACTATTTAACCGGGCACGGCGTAAAAAGACCGCAGTATACTGGGATGAGTATCGTAATAAACTTGGTGAATATAAGAAAATCGTTCGAAGAGCCAAACGAGACTCCTGGAAACTTTTCTGTGAACAGGTAGATAGCGTAAATGAGGTATCGAAGATAAAAAAATTCCTATCCAAAACTCATGTCCAACCGGAATCTATGATCGATGACACGGGCAGGAGGCTTGAGGATATGGAGGAGACAATGAAACTCCTAATGGATTCTCATTTCCCACCCGGTATATCGAATAACATAGATGAACCGATATTGGAGGAAGGGGAGGGTAACACGGAAATAGTTATTACAACTGACATGGTTAAAGGGGCAATCAAGAGCTTTGCTCCCTATAAAGCTGCAGGGCCGGATGGAATTTTCCCGGCACTTTTGCAGATGGAGGCGGGACTGGTTTCCGTACATCTGTCACAGATATTCACTGCATGCTTAAAATTGGCATATACCCCAGTTAAATGGCAGGATGCAAGGGTAATATTTATACCCAAACCAGGGAAACCTAGCTATGCGACACCTAAGTCCTATCGACCGATAAGTCTTACGTCCTTCCTACTTAAAACCTTGGAACGGATAGTCGATAGCATGGTTAAAAGCAGCATACCA